GTGACGTGTCTCGACTTAAACATAGTGATCATTAATCCTATATGGAAGCTAGGATGGATATTGGTGTTTCTTGGACTATAGTGTAAATTTCAACGGCAGTTGCTTTTGGAAATCTGCCTTTTTAAAGTAGACCGTGAAGTTGAGCGTATTTGCTTTCATTTCTTAATGCAAATATTGATGGAATCTACGCGTAAAATGTCTTTCTATGGTGCAACAAATTCTACATGTTTGTCTAAGCTCTTGAATTTCGGTGTCGTCATGCGCTGCCGCTCAGACTCGAGTAGAACGTTTTACATTACAATGTGAATGCTTTTCTACACAGGACCACATTGGCATTGAAGGAATATGTATTGCTCCTCAGTTGTTTTAGCAAAGAGGGGTCAAGGGTTAATTACCACCACAAGCAGAGCCGGTGGTCTGATATCTTTCCACAATCCTTCTTATATCTTCTGGGCATTGATATGTCCAAGAGGTATAAACTGAATTGGATTATCATGCAATAACATGGATGGTGCTCTAGAGGGCAGTGTTGGTCCCCCCCTACGCCATGCAATCTGAATCTTAAGTAATAATATAGGAGATGATATTGTATAATTGAGTGCTTGTTTGAAGTATAGAATATGTGGTTAGGTTAACCAGACCGGTTGATTGGCTGCAACATATAGATTATAGTATGCACATACAAACTGAGACTGCCTGTAAATACCTCAGACATGTTGAATCAAAGGAATGCGGTGCCACTTCTGTGCTTTAAGGTCACTATTCCCTGCAGATTTACTCTGGCCCTTCACCTCCAAATCGGTCGATTCGGAAAGCAGCAAATTTCTATATCTGAAAAATAACTTGACAAGCTATCAAAGGGTTTGAAATAAAACTGGTTAGAATTAAAGTAGGTTGATTTTAAAGAGAAGTGACTGCAGCACTAATCACTGCAGTTCATCTTCTTTATTTGGTCCATCAGCCTCTGAACTGCAGGATGCTTTCTGTGACTATACTGAATATACCACTTGCTGCAATAGAATGAACCTTTTTGTTTACCAAGTTAGATTGTGGTGTGTTTTGTTCCCTCGTCTTACTTGGGTTTCTTTCTATATCACGCTACAGTAAATGGTAAGATTGGGTGCTGCTGTGAAAATGCATGGCTTTGTCCTTCAGATGCATCTTTGTTTCTACAGTGACCGAGCTTTAACCTTTTTAAGGATGCACTGAGTATTCTGACCTCCACGTTCAAGACCTTATACATCGCTAATGGCGTAAGACAGACCCTCAAACTACAGATTGGGGGTTTTAACAATCTGGTATGAATTTGGAGGCGTTTTATACCATGGAATTTTTGTGTGTGTGTGTGGGGGGGGGTCCGCTACTCATCAGTCAAGTCTGTAGTGTTATTATTAGTGCCTTAGTGCGTAGCCCATACAGTGTTTGGTCTGTTTGAGTGACAGCTTCACCTCGTGGGTCAGTAGAAAGTGATGCACGAGCAATTGTTTGGGAATGTGGGTTTGCGTCTCATTACTTAACGTTCCGTTCCTCCAACAACCAACTGCAACAACCCCTGTTTTTTCCTTTTACACTCTGTCACGGTCTTTTAAGCCTTTTGGGAATGACAGAGAAACTGTCCACGTTAACAAAATGTGTTGCTGTGGATGAACCATCAGCATATAGACACTTTTTTGTACTGCATTCAATGGGCATGTACCACAGTGCTTCTGAACTACGACAGACTGTAGAGCTTAGTCTGTCAACTGCTTCATTGTATGTAAGAAAGTCACTCAGATTGGCTTTTATCCTTGTGCTTTGAAGCCTCTATGAAAGATTAATGTGATAGAACAAGTCGTTATATATCTGTCACCATTAGTGTCGTGGTGCATTTCAATGATGTGGAGTAAATGAAGTGTCCTGTACCCTTTTTTTTTTTTTTTTTTTTTTCCTCTTCCCTCCGAACAGAATCAAATTAAGATGTTACTACAATAAAGATGAGTGATAATATACACTATAATAGATATATTTATCCGCCCTCAATAAAAATATTTTTTGTATTCACTGAAAATAAAGCATTTCAATGTAACTGTGTGAAGTTTTTTTTTTTTTGTATAGTAAAGACATCTAGATGCGTTTGTACTACAGGTATATTACAGGTATATTTCTCTGTTCTATCAGAACGTAATTGTTTTCAAATAAAACATGCCTGTTGACTTTGCTCCAAATAACTAACATACACTCTCCTCGTATCATCAATATTTGTACTAAAATATACCTTAATGAATGCAATATAAACCTTTTTTGACCTGTTTAGGATATTTCCTACTAATGAAAATAAATATTTTCTATAGACCTATAAATGTTCTCCTTCCTCAGAGCTGGTAAGTGAACGAGGTGCGTTCACGTTGGTCAGTCCAGTGTCCGAGCGAGATGGTATTTCTCTGTAGCGCTAAACCTGCAGCTATATTCAGTAGATGAAGTGAGAGCCAAGCTAAAATGATCTGCCATTAAACTTTGAGGCGCTAATCAATTAAAGTTCAACGGCTTTGAACGCTGCTTTAAAATCTGGAATCCTTTTATAAGTCCATCACCTGTGCTGCTGATGCATACAACACCGGTCAAAAGTGCTGACACACTTTCTCATTGACCTGAATGATAAACGAATGAGTGTTACTCTCCATGTTTCCAAGTGACAAATCAAAGTCTAAAGCTTTTAATATGTTCCATTACCTACTTAATCTGGCTTTTAACAAGAGGCCCTTGTACGATGACTTTGCTGAGGGGGTGAAGCCAAAGACTTTGGCTAAAAGGACGAGCGCATTGAATTGAGTGTAGACAAACAGCTGATAGAAAGTATCCCATCCATTATTTTTATGCCATAAATCTAATTATAATAAGCCAGAAAGCGGATGCGGTTTCCAATGCCTGCTGCCAGCTGCATAGCAGGGTTATAGGCTTTTATCACCACTGTTGTATTCCATATAAGATTACTTGCCCTGACTTGTAGGAGCCACAAAGCGCACTGTCTCAGCTACACTGACCTAAAGTCCTCGTTTCATGTTTTAACAGTTTCAGTTCAATGAAAAGATGATTCTCGAGTCAGGCGGTTGGCTGATGTGCTCCGATGATGTAAAATGACACCAAGGACACGCTGCAACAAGCGTTCACGGTGGCTCAACACTCATATAATTAGATATCTCATAATGAACTTTTTCCTTTATACTTTTAAATCATTGAGAAGGAAGAAAGAAGGAAATGATCAATACAAATGATCACAGCTCAACCAGCTGTCTCAACACATCTGCGTTGAAAACAGCGCTGGCTTTAATTTGTGGTTTGACACGTCAGCATTAAGGTTTTACATCACTTTACTTCGCTTTGATTTTAAAACTGTTGAAGCACTTTTTTAAGGAAAAAAGGAAACTGAGAATGAGGACTTTGCCTTTGCTGAAGGGCAAAATACAGAAAAGATGTTCATGTATTATGGCCACAAAGTGAGCTACATTGAAAATAATGCTGTCTGCGCTGTGTGTGTAACTCCAAGCTCAAGTTCTTTCAGATTATTTAGTGAGAATCAAAGCTGTAACCCTTAATCAGAGTAAATTCTTAACTGTTACGATATGCGGATGTTCGTCTCTCTATCCGAGGTGCTTGGGGAACTTTGATCGCCTGAGGAGCCTCTGCGATCTCTTAATATGACTGGCATGCCTGGATGGCTGCTTAACGGTCCACAAACACATGTCAACACAGGGACAGCTGACTGCCTATAAAAAAACATGCCTGGACCACCAAAGAGATCAAATAGAGGAGGGAATTTAAGGGAAATCTGACCAATGGAATCTTCATAAGAAAAACTTAAAATAGGTTTAAAATTCCCCTTTTTCCAAAGGGACACTGATGTGGATTTGGGGGCCACGCGTCAAAAAGGTGCTTCCCATGGAGGAGGGACCCCCAAATACGCATTCACCAAAACAAAAGCAGAGAAGTGAACACAAGCAACAAACAACAAAACACTGTCAGATTGTAAATACACTGCTGTTCATTCAAGTATCACAATATTACGCTAACATGTGCGTAAAACATGCAATCTAACCCGTTACCTTGTAGTTTATCACATTTGGAGCTTGATTTTTTTTAAATCTCCGGCCTAATTTCTCCGACATGTACAAAAACGGAGTGGGCGGTAAACTATTATTACTCAACCATTTACCCGTGCAGACCGCAGGTTGCGTGCGACAGCTGCGGCTGTGCCAGGGGCCCCGTGAACTATCACAGAGGCCCGGTGAAGGAGGCCTGTGGGAATGCCAATGCTTTTGTTTTTTCAATGGAGCATGCCACTCTATCCACTGCTGTCCGTGTGAGATATATATCTTTTACCCGTTGGCTGATGGAACAAGCTCAACGATGTACTATTCAATAGAGCCAAGCCCGTCCGATTGATGTTTGGTGTGTTGGAACTATGCTGTGAGCGAGGTGCCGGGAGACAAACGAGCCACACCGGCTTACATGACACCCCACCGAGGGCGAAGGACTTCCACAGGAGATTATCCAAATGGTTTTGCATGAATACCTCTAATGCAATTCCTCTGTTGAAATATGGAAATTCATCTAATGAATTTGGAAAATTCATATCAGAAACCCTTTATTTTGGAATTAAAAAGCACAATTTGATAGCTGGTTAAATGTTTCTTTTCATATGCAGTTGGTGGGTTGTTTTCTAATGACATCAAATCTCCCCAAAATACACCCACTAAGAGGAACTACTACTTCATCGATTCGACGCACCATAATACCTACCTGTCACTTGGGGGGGTGTTAGAAAAAGGAGTGGGCTGAGGAGTCTGGGTATCCCTTGGTGCCCTCCCCTGGCTCCTGACGCGTACAGACCACAGCGGCGGACCAACGTCGGAGAGCGAATCACTGAGGAGATACAGTAAAAAAAAAAAAAGGCAGGTCCCGCGTTGACAGCTGGCGTTGTTTAAAAAAAGCATCGGGTATCCATCAACTGCCTGGATCAAACCACACATTTGACTCACTACACTCCAGCTGGGCGTCCCGTGTGGTTCGGATCCTTTCATTGAGTTTCATCTTAGTTGTGCGCGGCGCACACCCCTGAAGATAAGCAGCCATGGATGCCATCAAGAAAAAGATGCAGATGCTGAAGCTCGACAAGGAGAGCGCATTGGACAGAGCTGAGCAGGCCGAGTCAGACAAGAAAGCGGCGGAGGACAGAAGCAAACAGGTCGGGACCCGGTGTGGAGCCTTTATGCACAGAAGCCAATGGCATAGCCAGTGGCGTGTGATTAAACCCTAATATGTATATTTTGTGTTGTTTTTGTTTTGTTATTTTTAATACTAATAAGTTTATTGGTTGAAATTCTATATGGTTGTTTTTTGAGGTGTCATCTGTAAATAGGTAGAGGTGTCTGTCTACAAGTCAGTAAACCTTTTCGGGCCTTTCTGTATTCAAGCTTGAGGATGACCTGGCAGCACTGCAGAAGAAGCTCAAGTCAACTGAGGATGAGTTGGACAAGTACTCCGAAGCCCTGAAGGATGCCCAGGAGAAACTGGAGCTCGCTGAGACGAAAGCCACAGATGTAAGTATATGACAGTACCACTGACTGGTAGAGAAGCCCCCATACAGGTGTAGTCCCATAAATCATATAAATATATATGCGTCTTATATGGATATACATAGTTAGATGCAGCTATTAAGGTAACGACTAACCGGCCAGTTAATTCCACACCCACCAGGAGAAATTAGAGGTCCAGTGTAAGGTTTCAAAGGGGCCTTTTACAAGCATATCTTGTTCATGTAAAATTCTTGACAGATTTGCCGTTCATCTGTAACTTTACAGTTAAATCCAAAGCTGATTAAATTTTTATTAGAAAAATAATTATAAACATTAGGCTCAATTGTAAGCCTTTTGAGTTATACCCATGACTGACTTTGACGTTTTGTTTGGTGCTTTGATTTTGATAGGGTTGGCTCAATTCACAAGCCTCACGAATGAACGTTAATTTAGACAGTTGTTTACCATCATTTTGCAAAAACTAGAAAAACTACACGAATCCAATTACAAAGCCAATAAAGTTTTTTGATAATATAAATATATTCCTTATTCCTCGCGCGTAAAAAACGGGTACTTCCGGGGTAAGCGGCGCGTCCCAATCGCGAGCCTCATCAGCGGCTGATTAAAGGCGGTGGGGGCAGGGATCAAAGGCGCCGCATCTACCAGCGCGTGTGTCTGTGTGTGCACGCGCGCGTCCGCCCGCCTGCAGCGAGACAGAGCTGAAAGAAAACACTAGCTTAGCTCAGACCAACCAACCACCACCCTCCCACCACCACCAAAAAAAGCAGCAGAAATGGCCGGTGGGAGCTCTCTGGAAGCTGTGAAGAAGAAAATCAAGTCGTTGCAGGACCAGGCCGACGTGGCCGAGGACCGCGCGGCGTCGTTGCAGCGGGACTTGAACCAGGAGAGGAGCGCGAGGGAATCAGTAAGCCGCTCCTGATTATTTAAGGCAATTAGTCTGCAGGCTGCAGATGGCATTAAGCGTTAAATGTGGTCAAAAAGCGTGGCTGCTTGGGGCCCAGACATGACGGTTTAGGACTACTCGAAATTAGCCCGGGGTGAGTTAAACGCCGGGTGGATGAAGGGACGCCACCCCGGTAACAATGGGAGTAAACGCCGGGTGGATGGAGGGACACCACCCCGGTAACAAGCAGGCCGACGTCGCAGCAGCACAGGTGGAACTCCCGCAAGCTAATTAAGCTAGTTGGAGGTGGAAAAAAAGAAGCGCACCATTCTTTCCCCTTTTCAAATTATTGATATTGTAACCATGTATGCAAAAGGATCGCAATGACTCAGAAATGAAGCGGTTTTCATTTATTCTGGAACGATCTGTAAAGGTGCTGCTAACTTGTGGAAGGTTTGAAATGTGCATTGAAAATACTTTCAACTGACTACTGACCCAGCCCAAGCTTTCAGTGGAGAGTTTGGGATGGGCTGCATGTTGCATCTCTGCAAAGGCCACTGCAACATGCATGTCAAAGCCATTACTTAAAAAAAAGCACCTGATCTGACTGTTTTTGGTGTTTCGCCCTGCCAGGCTGAGGGTGATGTAGCTTCCCTGAACAGACGTATCCAGCTGGTCGAGGAGGAGTTGGACCGCGCTCAGGAGCGTCTGGCCACAGCACTGACCAAGCTGGAGGAGGCAGAGAAGGCTGCTGATGAGAGCGAGAGGTGGGTACCTTGCACCTGCAAAGCACACACTCATTGTTCACCATGACCCGCTGTTAGTTCTTGGTTACTATACAGAAAAGTTTTGAAGCTGTACACTACTCGAGCACTGAGATGTTGCAGTGAACCCTCCATAGATTGCACCTGACTCGTTTTGCTCAGTGCTGCCACTGCTGGCTGAATGATAGTATTACATTGAAACACAGGGACAGAAAAGTCGTTGGTTTAGATGCTTTGCATACTAGAAAATGTAATTGTGTTCTTACAAATGTCTCTATATTGATGCAAAGTGGGCCCGGACCAATAGCGGAAATGGTCTTTACCACATGGATTTGAACTTTAATGATGTCCTCTGCAGCTATTGACACTACGGCTAATAGTGGGAACACTACTCACTCCTCACTTGGGTCTGTGTTATGATCTCAATCGATCCAACTTTATTTAAATAGCATTTTTAATGCATTTAGGTTTGAAGTGCATTACCGAGGAGTAACTGGTTACGAAATGAGACCAACTTGTCTGTATGGGGGAGGGGGAGAGAATCGGACAAGTTAACAATTATGGACTAATGCAAGAAACAACAAAATCAAAAAGAAATGCAGGCTATAATAAGAGATGGTCTGCAGATAAAATACTGTCTTTGTTCGCCGTAAAAGAGGGAATTATCGACTCGTATTGTCCTTTTGTGGTGCCCATGACTTCCCTGTTTTCTTTCGTTCAGAGGCATGAAGGTCATTGAGAACAGGGCAATGAAGGACGAGGAGAAGATGGAGCTGCAGGAGATCCAGCTGAAGGAGGCCAAACACATTGCAGAGGAGGCTGACCGCAAATACGAGGAGGCATGTTTCTCAGCTGTTCACTGCAGTCTGAACGATGCATTTGTCACATTCTTTTGATTTAATGGGACAGCTGACGTTGGCGGGTACATTGTGACTGATGCATATTGTTGCCGCCGCATGCTAAACAATAAGTTAGGTTTGTAAAATAAATGTAATTCTGTGGGAGTGAAGTGTGTACGTTGTGACTTCAGGTGGCCCGTAAGCTGGTGATCATTGAGAGCGACTTGGAGCGCACGGAGGAGCGTGCTGAGATGTCTGAGAGGTTAACACTTCCGTCACTTTCCCCTCCACCTGTTCAGTCAAGTTGCAACTTAAAATAAGCTTTCAAACTAATTCCATTTCTGAATATTTCTTTGTTTGTTTGGGGAATCTTCCTTTCTTGTTCATGAACTAACAGCAAATGCTCCGAGCTCGACGAGGAGCTTAAAACTGTGCAGAACAACCTGAAGTCTCTGGAGGCCCAGGCAGAGAAGGTGGGGTTGCCGATGAAGGCCCTAAACATTGCCAATAAAACAATTGTCAATTGTGTTTGTGACTTGTGACTCTGACCTCTGTGTACGACCTCAGTACTCTCAGAAGGAGGACAAGTACGAGGAGGAGATCAAGGTTCTTACAGACAAGTTGAAGGAGGTGAGTTGACTTCAATCAATCCTGGATACCTGTTTCACAGTAGTTTTGGAAAGCTTTTTCTTTTTTTGACCTGCTAATGATTAACTGTATTCCTCCACTCAGGCTGAGACCCGCGCTGAGTTTGCTGAGAGATCAGTCGCCAAGCTTGAGAAGACCATCGACGATCTGGAAGGTATGAGTCTTTTCCTCCATTTGTGGCCATTCAGCTAAAATGTAGGGATTCCAGTGCAATGCCGTTACTACGCCAACTCGAAATGGAAACCTTGTTACGTCTTATTTAGGTTCTCTAGTGAAGTGAGATCTCTTCTGATAAAGTAAACTGGTTTTTGGTCATTTCTCAAAGGGTTACTCCATAAAGAAGGGCCTCTCTTGTAAACTGGTGCAGTGTGAGGTTATTTATCTGGGCAGCAGGGAGTTTAATGGACCTCTGTACAAATATCGGTCGGTGGGTTAGAGGGAGAACACAAATCACAGAGGCCTGCCCGATGTTGTTCATGTGGGCAATAACTTTTCTCACCACAATGCCATATAGCATTCTCGTGTAGTGACCGATGAAGGCCGGCGAGTCCCAAGCCTTCATCACAGGGTCACGGAACATGTGATGCAGTTTCTCAGTGACTCTTCAGGAATGTGACACATCGGCAGCTGTTGCATGTACACTTCCTATTTCTGTCCACGCATTTCTTCTTAAATTCCCTCTTTGTGTTTACTTTTCTTTTTACTTCCGTCCTGACTCTTATTATTTTGTCTTCTGTTTTTATTTTTTGCAAATCCTTCACTGCCGCTTCAACATAATTACCACAAAATAGATGAGCTGTATGCCCAGAAACTGAAGTACAAGGCCATCAGCGAGGAGCTGGACCACGCCCTCAACGACATGACTTCCATGTAATTCACCTTGCTTGTTCATGCTTTGTGCCTTGGATCGCAGCAACACTAACCACAGCAATCAAGATACAATGGCTCCCTCTAGTGGCATGTTTGAGTGCAGTGATATTATACATGAGTAGATTTTTAGAAATCCTCTTTCACTGCTTGTCTAACCTTGATGTGCGTGTGATGTAAAGGTGCTTTTGGCTTGTTTCTGACTAGATTCGTAGGCCTAGATGCTCCAAACCTATTGGTAAACTTCTAACTACACTTGGTAGTCTCTAATATCTTTTCTTCTTTCCAAATTCCCTCATGCTTGGTTCTCATTTGCTTCAGCACGTCTTCTATTTCCCTCTTTAGTTTTGCATGCAATTGCTTCCATACCTCCTTTTTTCCCCCCCATTCCTCCAACACTGGTCTTTGTTCCTTTTTTTTATGTTTTCCACAGCTAAATTTTTCCCCCCATTACTGAAGAAGCTGTTTGAGCATCATCGTCTCCCTCCTGTGCAGCACAGCCCAACTGTCTCTGTATTTCTCTACTGCACATTGGACTGTCGCTGCTGCCATCCACCTCTTCGTCTTTCACACAGACCGTAATGCATTCTGTGAAATAAACATTCTTCCATCTATGCCAGCCCTTTCCCCTTCCACTGGTGATGTTTCTTCATTTCTTTTTGTCCAGTCCTTCATTTTTTATTTTATGTGTATTCTTTGTCTTAATTTGTTCTGTTGAGCAGCTTTTGAATAAACTCTGAAGCTCATCCAACTGTTCCCTTTTCTGTTCGAGAGGACTGCTATATGTTATAATGCATTAGGATGTTAAATGTAATTTATGCCAGGTTACCTGCTTTTATAGACCGTATATATATATATGGACGAGTAACAACCGTTCCCAAAACCTGGTATCTCAACCGCACTTTAGTGGCCAAAAGAAAAAACTGCACCTCAAGCGATTTTCAGCACTGACTTTAACCTCTTAATGATCTCCAGTGACTGGATCCTCTATTTATTTATTTAAAAAAAAAAATCTTTTTTTAAGGACGGGGTTTGTACCATGAGAGGTCTACCCTTCAGAAATTGTTTATAAGTTTGACTCTTGCACCAAAAATCCTCGACTCATGTAGATTACATATTGGTCTTATGTACATCTTCATATCACATGGTTAAAAACAAATCTTAAACTACAGAGACTACAAAAGGAATAATGAGTAGGGAGTGTTGCCAGGACAGATGGAGACCTCGTGAAATGTGAAAGACAAATGTAGCGAGCAGTTTTAGTTCAATCACTCAGTACTTTCAGTAGTCTGGAGCTTTGCTTTACGAGGTCTGCAGTTCAACCGCTGGAATACAAACTGATACTTGTTCTGTATTTATCTTCAACACACTAACTCTTTGTCTCTTGTACTAACCTGCCTTTTCTCTTTCCCTTCTTTCTTACCTGCTGTCTGATTGTCAAGACCATCTATACAAGCAGCTTGAGAAAAACCGCATCCTGACCAATGAACTGAGAGTAGCCTTAAACGAGGCGTAGGCTGGGATGCGCTCTGGCATTCTTTCGTGCTGAATCTCAAACGTCCTGTTATATGAAAAGGGCTACGACGCAAGGCTTAAACCCATAAATACTTTAAACAAATGGGGAAGTTTCTTGTTATGCATGCTAAAACTGAGGCATTGGGTGGCGGGGGGGTCAGACAACCTCTGGTCATGAGAAGTTGCAGCGGGTTTCACAATTTCTACTCTTATGTAGCACTTCGGTCTGCACGGTGCTGTCGCTCATGAGCTGAAGGCCGGGCAGGATGCTAGTGGGCAACGTCTGTAAGGGGCTCATGAAATGACGCAGGGGGTCCACAATGCCTTGTACACCACTGCTAAATTGAAAGGACAAGTTTAAAAAAAAAAAAAAAAAAAATGCATTGATATTCCAAGATTTAGAATGTTAAGCTTTCCCAAGAACTACACTGCTGTTTTGGCCTCGATACAGATTTGACTTGTTGATTTATTCAAATTCCCTTCAGTTTGAATGGTAACACAAGAAGGCGTGTGCTTTGGTTTGAAGCAGAATGGACGCAGTGCTGACCGCTGTACATGTGGAGAGAAGCCCCTTCCAGTCAATTAAAGAAGCATACCAGTTTTAGAGCTCTATTCTGTCATGTATGTATGGTTAGAGGGTTTATGTTGAGTGTTTATCAAATGGAAGGATCATTCAATGGAATGGTAAGACTTTTAAGCTTTAGAATAAAATTGAAAAGACAGACCAAATATGTGTGATCATGACCGTAAAGTGCTTGGAGTAGATACTGTAGGTCATGATCATAATTTAAATCTTAACATTAATAATGACTAAGGAGCATTATTTTGTAGCTACAGCATTGTAGTTGATGAGTGATCACTATGCTGTTTGTTATCCTGGACTAGAGCTTTGTTTAAATCCTGTCCATCTTTGTGTGGTGTTTATGACTTTTAACCAATGCAATGCTGTATTAACAGATAAACTCACACGCGTAAAAGAAGAAAGCCTCAACGCACAGCGGATGCTGGATCAGTTTTTAGTGGAGATGCTTAACATTTGACCCCGCTGTGTTCATCTCCCCACGTTGCTTCATCGACTCTGAATATGGATGTTTGGCCTGGTGGTTAAAAGTGTCCTCTGAACTTCTTATCCTGAAGAAACCAGTTCAACACAAAGGTAGCACACACTGCTTTATTTACATACTGTTTGCTTTACACACTGTAATCAAAGGTCAGTTATCATTCAAGTTTACATGTATATGTTGGGAGGATTTGCACTTTTTTTGTGGAAATGCACTGCACATAAATGTCATCAAGGCCATAAATGAAGCCCCGGATATATAAAGGGACTTTTATTACGTGTACTTTTGTAAAGTTGTTTTCTTTGTTTCTGCTGTATTGTAAAACTCTTCAATGTGATGTACACTTCATCTAAGCAAGGATGGACTGAATTGGCACGGTTGCTTGAATGTACTGTTTAATTAGATAATGTTTCCACAATGTACTTTTCTGCCCACGTTGATAAATTCTTTTTTTTTGTTGCTCCCATTTTATCTTGGAAAAGTAAAGCTTGTGTAATAAATGGTTGGATCTATACGTTCAGTCTTTTTATTACTTTCAGAGGGGTGAATGTAGGTGATCAGCCTTGGTTATTACTTTGGCTAGTTATTAAATGATATTCTGTCATGTCACTCAATAATGCAATATATGGTAATACTGTTTTTAAACATCTATGTTTAAAACTCCTTTTTTAGGAATATATTTGGTATTTTAGTGCTTGAAACAAAAGTCTACAGATGAAACCTTATGGTCTTTTTAAATATTTTCAATAATGTAGATTGAATAATGCTAAACAGGTGAGACCAGCGATATACAAGGGTAAAAAAAAGACAATATTAATACTTTGCAACAAATATGTTCGGTCCAAAACGATCACATCTAAACTACAGCAAATGGAGCTCGCTGCCTTAACTCCTCCTCGCCACAGGGGGAAGCATCACACCGGGGGCGGCTGGGCAGCAGGTCAAAGGTCGTAGCTGGGCAGCCAACAAAAAAAAAAAAAACGACCACGACTTCACAACAAAACATGGGTGAAAATGAAGAATTTACCGACTATTTAGAAGACAGCAAGGCCGCGTACGTGCTCAGCAATGTCGCCGAAGTGGTCGAGCGGATCCTGACGTTCGTGCCAACCAAATCGCTGATGCGGGTCGCGAGGTAAGCAACCGGGGGAATGTTTGTACGCTCCACTGTTAACTGAAGAAAGGAAACGAAACTGTGTTTTTTTCCCCCCACAAACATGGTTTACATTTATGATGTGAATGGGGGTCGTTTCACTTCACCTAGCTAACGTTTTCGTAACTGCATGCGCCCCCCTGAAAGAAGCAGGAGAACTTGGGGCGGCTAACCCGGGTTCCCTCCAGCTAGCCGCGGGTAAAGCGCCGTGTGTTTGTGCTCCGCAGGGTGTGCAGACTGTGGAGGAACTGTGCCCGCAGGGTGCTGAGGACCCAGCAGCAGCTGACCTGGGTGTCGGCCTGCGGGCCGTCCGCCTCGGGGGCCCACGTCCTCTGCAGCATCCTGGCCGAGGAGGTGGAGGTTAGTGAGGGAGAGGATGGGAGAAGCGGCTCGGGGACGTTCAGAGACCTGTGAGCTGCACACGCTGCTAACGGTTGTTAGTGTATTCTGATTTAAACAAAGCACGGCGCACACGTTAAAGAAAAGGTGTGAGAGATTGTTTGGTCGTGTCTCGTGTTTTTTAACATATGCCCCTTACCTGTGATTCTTTCCAGAAAGTGTTTCTCCTTCCCAAAACGGTTCTGACACTAGTAGACTTAGAAAGCTTCAACGGACGACTTGATAGCAGACAAAATAAAGGTTGGTATTAGATATTGTTTTTCACTGCTGTTGGGCTTTTTCGTGTTATCGGTTATTTGACTCAATGTGTTGGAAAGGTGGATACGTTCTGTTGTGCACAATGATTTGAGTTGTGTGTCTGGAAAGCGTGAGAAGTAAGAATATCACACAGGGAAAGCTTCTAGATGCAAAAGACTTGTATTCAAAGGATCATGAACGTTGTGAATCTCATTGAATAGCCTCAAAAACCTAAATGTTATGCATTATACATTCAAACAAATTTAGTGCAGGGTTTTCCCAGAAAGCTTGTAGTCTTGCCCCTCATCTTTTGCAACTACGGCCAATGGAAGTTATTATAAATGTCACCAATTTCACTATTTGCAATAAACTGCATGGTGCATTTTAGCAGTATGGCTAATGCACGCGCGTGTGTTTATGGGTACCACAATAATAACTGAAAGTCACTAATCGGGACTATTTACATTTATAGGTGGCCTCATAGACTAATTTTTGAACAATAAAAATTGCTTTATTTTTGCAGTAGCCATAATAAATCGGTTTTGATGCAAAGTTTGGTCATGATATAATGCTGGCCAGTTTGTCTACTGTTCCTCTTTATCACTGCAGTTTCAGTAACACATGTTGTGACATTACACATTCTTTGGATTTTTGTTATAGTATTATGGTACTTTTATCATGAATATTTACTTTAAAATAAATAACGATGTGCTTACCTCTTCTTAATGTCCAAATAATTCAAGTTCATTTTATAGTTGCTATGGTTATTTGTGGTTTAGAGTAGAACTAGCTTGCCCAGTGATTCAAGACAGTGGTGAAACTATTGACGAGAACTAATTGACACCTTCGGGACCATCAGTGAAAGGAAGTTGAGGCGTGCACACAAATCCTTTAGATTTTGTTTCTTACAGATCTCAAAAGGTATTTTAGGTATTTAGCAGTGCTGTGCAACACTCAACAGTGTTTTGCTGGTGTAAATCCGTCTTAGTCTAGCATTGTTGTATATGCGTATGTTTCATATTAGAATAATTATATTAAATAGTCATCTTTCTTAATTGTTTTCTTATTATGTTCCTCTCAACCACTGAAGCAAAAAAGGATCGCCACAGTCAAGACACTGTTGAACAGCTGAATCAGCTCTTCCCCAAAAGCTGTGACATCATGGGTATCACCACGCCGGGAATAGTCTGTAAGTGTTTGTGTCTCGGTCATATTTTCTCGTTGATATGGAAAAAAATAACAAATCCACCCACCCCTCCCCCACAATTAAAAACGAGTAGTCATGTGAAGGAATCACGTAACTATGTTTGCATGAAAAGGGTTTTTTAATCTTTCAAATCCATGCTGGTACAAAGATGTGGCCCATCACATTCATCTTGCTAGGGTATGTAAAAAAGCAGAAAAATAACCAGGTGTCTTGGGTGTATCGAGGAGGAATAGTTCACCTTTCAGCATAGAGTGCTACGATTAATCTCCTCTGCTGCTGCCTGGTTGTAAAGCACCACTGGTGGCTCTCGCTTCGCCGCCTCTCCCTCTGACAGATTGCCTCGTCGGCGTGGTGCTGTGCTCCCCATTTTTCCATTTAATCACAACCCTGCGGAGAAGTGACTCCATCAGCCGTGTTCTCTTTCCTCAGGATGATGGCTTATCGGGCTCCTGTACTAGATCAGGTTTAATGGCAGCTGCAGCTGTTTGCAATAACACTGATTTTGGGATATTGCAGTTAAGGGGTCACCACAAGGTCTCCACACACATCGGATTCAATTGAATTAAATCTTTGATTGGATTAGTTTAAAAGCAATAAATTACTTGTAATTGGTTTGCCATAAAGCCTAATACATCTGGTTATTCATGCGTATTGGTAATGGGTTTGCACAGTATTAAAAAGATGACTTGTGATACACTTAGAGCAAGTACTTTTGCATTACTGCTTATGAATTCTATAAACCGGAACACATTGGAGGATGGGAGTGAGTGGGATACTAAAGTGCTGGATTTGCTGTTTTCTATTCCAGTGCAATGTTTTCTGTAGTGAACAAAAATGTAAACCCTTTAAGTCTAAAAGGTTTCCGAGTGGTGAATGTCTTTTAATTCTGGTATGTTTTCTCATTTCTCACCTCTTTCGTCTGCTAAACGGACCTGAGCGTGTTTAGAAGTGCCTTTATTGCCATTGATTAACAGTACAAAAATCCTCTTGTGTAGCTGTTCCTTATGTACAGTATATGTTTAGTCTTTTTGAGGCTGCTTATGGTGAGTAAATATCCGGTTATGTGTATTCAGTCTGCAATGCAGAGGGTCCACTAGTGACCACTGTTCCTCTAGCTTTATGTGCTTGGCATTCTACTTCATACCTGCCTCTCTGTGCAGTGACTCCCAGTGGCTCCGGCCTTCCTCGGGAGTACCAGGAGGGGGAGGCTGGCTTTGCAATCATGTTTCCCAGCATAGACGGTGTCAACATCAAGCCCTTTCATTTTTGCAAGAAGTCCATTTGTACGGCGGCTCTGAAAGAAGCAGGTGAGTTTTGGCTCAAAGCAATTATTCAATAATCTAAATGGGGAACTTATACCCATGTAAATCTTCCAGAACTTGTTTTTTCTATCAGTGTTTTGTTTTTTACTTTCTTTCCAGGACTTGTTGACAACCCGGAGCTGCGTGTGGTACTGCTCTTTGTCTATGAGGCGTTTAAACCTGGAGGACTACACCTGCTCAGCCAGATACTGGAGCCTCTGGCCAAGAGCAAAGCCCTCATTGCAGGAGGGCTGGTAGAAAGTGTTTTCTCTCCTCCTAGACACTGGTGAGTTTATATCCTTCATTAAAACATGTATATTTTTCTTCTTTTTTTCCAAAGATTAATGATGCTTTAAGATAGAAATAACAATTGACCGATCTTAAGACCCGCCCCCCCTTAGTTACTGTTGCTAGGTCAGAATAGCTTGACAAAAAGAAACAAGGCGACGCTGGTTTTCCTTTTTCGCTGTGCCGCAGTGTGCGTTGGAGAGTGTGTATTAATACACCTTCAAGAGGCTGAAAGCAAAGATAACCACATGGGATGGAGGGTTATATCCACTATGATGAACCTTAGTCCGTAGACATGTATATGAAAACAAATATGACTCAAAGTCGCTTTGCGGCAGCGGCATGTAGGCTTAGTGAGCCAATGGAGCCAAATGAAGGAAATGGGACACAATCATTTGGGAAAGATCAGTTGTAAGTGATGCCTGTTCTTTAAACATTGTTCTACTGAAAGGCTTTACATAGGTGAGGGGTCAATTGAATCCCGCTATTTCTGTGTCACAATTCATGGAAATGTCGATCAAAGGCTCAAAGTTGAATTCATGAATAAACGCTGGGAATTATAATTTTAACCGTTGTGGCGTTGAACTAGCAGTGGCTTTATTTCATTTACTGTATCACGATCTCACTCTCCCACCATTTGCCGCCCCGTAGCTGTAGCCAGGGGGCGTTCGGCGTGGTGGGTCTGGCCCTGAGCGGCCCCAAGGTGCAGGGGGCATCTGTGCTCTTGGACCAAGAAATCAGCAACCCAAAAGCGGCCGAAGCCACCATCCGGCGGCTGAAAGCAGCCAAAATTCCCGAGAGGAACACCCTGGGGTTCATGTTCGCCTGCGTGGGGAGAGGCCAGAACTACTACCAGAACCAGGCCAACGTAGAGGCCGACGCCTTTCACAAGGTGTTCCCCAACACGCCACTCTTCGGCCTGTTCGGCAACGGCGAGATTGGCTGCGACCGCATCGTCAAAGACGACTACACGCTTTGCGACACTGACACGGACAGTCTGCAGCACGAATACACCACTGTCATGACCCTGATCCATTTGGGCTGACTGACCACTGCAGCGGTAGTGAAAGAAACATGCAAGAAGGGGGCGAGAAACATTTTCCCCACGTAATGACTCCACAGGGGAAGTTGTGTCTCTCTGAGACTGAGTTTCACAAAGTTTTAATATTAGTATTAAAATGTGAGTTTCTTGTAAAATATATGTATATATTTTTCCTAAATCTTGCTCATATTCAAGGCCTTTCTTACCCACTGACATTAACCTCATGGTCCGTTTTGTTTTCAAGGTCAGTGAGAATATACAATGCGTGTCCCACAAAGTTGTAGTTGGTGATTCGACGAAGGCACTTTGTATTCATGTAAGAGGAGCGTGCTCCCTCTTCTACACAATCGTGGCAGTTTTGATTTACAAATTAAAACTCTTTTGCAAGAGATCTATCGGTCATGGTTGGATTGGCCACAGGTGCAGTCAGAATGTTGCAGTGCCTCTTTTTTTCCCTCCTAAGAAAGGGTACACATGCTGCCCTGTATACTCTTTAGTTCGTTGTCTAAGTGGCACGGACAAGCAGAAACTCTCAATCTCATCTGAATTGAGTCTCCGCTCTAAAATTTCTAACTTGAGGAAATATTGTAAAGTTATACTTTCCAAAGTTAAAAGTCATTTGCATTGATTATGATGTAATTGCTATCATTTGTTAAGTAAATAGTGTTTATTTTTGAATGACTAAATGGGGTCCAGATTTCACACATGCCTTTATAGAAAATAAAAACCATTAATGCTTTCTAAATGTTATTTTCAAGATGGCTGTTATTAATTGATGCCATTTGCCTCACTATTTCCATTATATGTAACCAGTAGCTGTTCAGATTTCCAATCAAATCTCTTTCAGTGGTTGTTGCATGAAGAGCTCTATTTGAGGAAATTTCAAAATATTGATTAAAAAAAGTTCCTCTAACAAATCCTCTTGTTTCCATAATACACAAATATCCCTATTAGTCGTTGAGGAGGAAAGTAAAATTTTTCTTTTTTTCCTGACGATGCACTTTTCTACACGTGCCAATTAAAAGACACACTGCTCTGCTCACGTGCTCAATAAATGATCTCCAACACGTGGATTTGTGGTTTTCCGTCTGTCTTTTAAACTCCGCAGCAGCCTTCGACCCGGTCCCTGAACACCCGGGGCGTCACGCATCGCTCCCCGGGCGTAACCGCAGGCCCGCCGCTGTTAATTCACGTCCCCGCGCCTCCTCATTGGCGCGCACCGCCCGACGTGAGCCTACGGCCCGTGACGTCACCAACAGCCCACGTGCAGGCGCGCTTGAAGGAAGCGAGAGGCGCTGGAGATTGATTGATGTGTGGTTTAACCATCGACTGGCTAATCCCGATGAACGACAAACCTTTAAACCAATTGCTGCAAAGGAATATTCCCGTAGTATCTTTATTCTAGGGAACCATAAAACAACCCATTCGTGGCACGGAGAGGGACGTACAGCTAATACAATAATCTGTGGCGAGAATCCGCTCTCAAATTGGCCTAGATCGGGAACTGAGACAATACTCAGCATTTTTATTTCTTTCACACACACACGCGTCCAATCAATATTTTTAGTTTGCTATGTCGTGACCGGAGTGTCACACGATCCGTCGGCTACTGTCAGTCTCCGGCACCGAAACCTCAATTCTCTCATGGCGTTTGGATAATATCGCGTTCCCCGACCGCTGCTGTGTGGAATATAAAAATAAATTAAAAAAAAAAGGGGGGGGGGGGGGGAGACTAGAGAGAGAGAGCGAGAGAGCGGAGGCTTCGTCGGGCTCGCTTCAGCACCTGGACAGCTCCCTCTCGCAGGGTTCCCCGCTGCGCTCGCCGGGGGAAACCCTCGGCTGATAGGAGCAGAACCCGGATCCAACAACCACCACCACCACCCCTCTTTCCTCCCCCTTTCCTCCCCCCTCAAGACACCTTCCAAAAAACCGGGAGAGAGGAGACCACAACGTGAAGGGGGGGAGGTCGCGATTTTGGCGCAATCTTGAACGACCCTAATAGATGCTAATATGATCCCGACGAGCGGCGATGTTTCTCGCGTTTGAGCCCCTTTGGCTTTGCGCTGAAATCCGAGCGGCGCAAGTGGGAGCAGCGCGAGCAGCGGCCGTGCTCTTCCGATGCAAAACAAAAAAAAGAAAAGAAGTGCTAAGGATAGCTGCAGCCTACACACAGTGCGAGCCTGCTGCTGCTGCTGCTTCACTTTACTCTGATCATCGCCGAGGGAGACATTACTATCAGCGAGGGGGCAGCGGGAGGCACGAATGCACCGCGAACGATGTGAATCTCACACAGGTAGGTCCTTTGCTGCAAGTGAATAATGCATTCGTGGACAGCGAGCAGCCCTCGGTGTTTGCGAGCACAACTCTCCTTTAGTTGGAATCTGATACCAAGTAAATCAGTTTTTCATGATCTTTAAAAAAAATAATATATTTTTTTTTTTATCACAGATGCCTCTGCATGATTACAGGATTTGAAATGTGTAACATGTTTGCGTCTGATTCTGAATGTCTTAAGCAGATCAATGCTTGTGTGTCGTTGAAACTTCACATTTGCAAAAGGTTCCCTTGCCTTTGGGGTTTCAACAGCCATTTGGTAACTGGGGGGTATATCCTCGGCTCCACGTTCAATCTAGTCTGTTTTGTTCATTGTTATTCCATTCAACTTCAAAAAACACATTTTTGACTTGTCCTGGGGTTTATGTTAGTCTGAAACTTAAACCTGGACCTTAAAGCCCTCAAACAGCCTTCTCATGGCTTGACAAGCATGTGATGTAAGGAATGAACATTTTCAAATGTTTCATCATGTACAAGAAACAACTCCTATAGGATAAATTCCATGTTCCAGTACATCACCAGACAGCCACCCAGATTATTGTTGGACCCTTTTGTCAAATTGGTGAAATATGCTGCGTTGGCATCACTGCGCAGTAAAACTTAAAAAAAAAAAAGTTCTTCACTTACATTAAAGGCCTTGTTCTTCACAGGTTTGACATGAAAGCGGCCTCTGTCAGGTGAACAGGTGTACTGCATTCCTAAAACCACCAGAAGTGGAAACCTTGTGACAACCATCTCCACATCTCTCCTCTCCATCAGCCAGCATCATGGCCAATGCGGAGTGAGTACAGTCAATATGCTCTTGTCTTCCTCACTCTGTTCTATGCCAAAGCAGCACTTTTCTTTTTCTTCTCAAACATATATATTCAAAGAAAATGTGTCAAAGTGTAACCTAAAAACATGTGTGGTCAAATGTCAGAGATGCAGAATTGTTGATAGGGCGCGTACATGCATCCCGTTCTTAAGTATTCCTTCCTTATTCTTGTGCTTAATTCTCTCGGCGGGCCTCTGTTTTTATTCTCTTCAGACAGTCCCCTCTCTGTGATTGTTTCCCAGGTTTCTGCGCCTCCCTTTTCTACAATAATGACCTTTATTAACAGAGACACTGCTACCGTTGAGGTGCCTCTGACCCTCGTCACTCTCAATGCTAAACACAGACGCACACTGAGATGCAGAAACACACCTGCACAACGCCGATTACACAGCGTCCATTCTGCAGCCGTAGGTCACTGTACGTTGATCCTCCCCACGGAACAACGTACAGTTAAAATCATTACTATTATCCATTTTTTTCAGTCACTCCTTTTCTCCCGGCACTCCATTTCTAAACTGTGCTCTGTGAGTGCGTAGTGAGAACAGCCGCTGCATCACAGAGGCGACCCGCTGTAGCTTGTGCACGTGATTGTGTGGGGACAAGTAAGGAGGTAAGGGACAACGCTGAAAAACGTTATTCTTTGCTGCCGTATGATTCTGCTGACATAGCATGACTCCCTAATTTGTCTCATCTCAGCTAGCTGCATGTGTTCTCCTGACCCAGATGAATAGCCCTAAATCATTGCTCCGTTTGTGCTTTCATAAAAGAAGCCGTTCAGCTCGCGGTCCCACACCGAGCACAGCGAGTCTCAGCAGCAAACGTCATGTCATGCTGCTTCTGAGGTGAAATAAATGCTAAAAACATTTGTATTTACAGTAATTGTGTTTAAAAGGTTCATGAAGATCAAGAGTTATGATTCTCACAAATCAGTCTCTTGTTTGTGGAATAAATACTGTTTGGTAGAGCACATTTTGAGTCATGTATTATTGAAAATGTATTGACCCTAACTTCTCTATCTCTATTGCTTTTATTGAGCTATGTTACTGTAAACAAAGATAAGATAAGATTTCTTTTCCAGAAAGTAAAAATGCAAAGACAACAAAAAAATGAAACTACTGCAAAAAACTTGCAAAAAATGGTCACTTGTTATCTTCAGTAAAAATTGAACTGCTCGTTGTTTTTTGTTTTTACTGAACTAAATATTCACAATTTAAAAAGATAGCAGCTGTGACTATGACGGCTGCATATGTTCAAGATGAAACAGACGACACCTCTAGTATAAAAGTGTAGAATAAACTTTGTCTCTTTTATGTTTTCCGTTCATGCAAAAAAAACTGAAATCTCTCAGTAACTCTCTCAAGACGTTTATTTCCTTAAGTGTCTGTAGAAATTAAAATAATCTATCATTGGAAACTGACACAGTGTAAAAAAGTTGCACAGACCTCTCTTTGTTGATCAAGGTTTACGCTCATCTTCTGTCTTACTTCTGTCTCACCGGGGTCTCTGTGTCTCCTGTGTCTTATACAGCTTGTATCTGCAAAGGTCAGATAAGAGACTGGTCACACCAGGGCCGGAAGCGTCCATTGTGCAGTCCACCAATCCAATTCATCATAGTTTAATCTGTAATGTCATTAATAAGATAATGTGCTTGGCAGACGTCGTTAATATTCACTGGCATGAAATTACAAAAGTTCCGCTGGAAATTGAATGGTGTTGTAAGATGTGACAGATGTTTTGTAATACAATGTGAACACCACTTAACATCAAGTAATGATTTCAACGCTTTCACCTTGAAAACCGCTGCGGATGAATTGACCGAGCTGTAAATACTGACCGGGCGAAAATGGTGAGATTGTATGAGAAGTATTGTTTTTTTTCTGCAGTCTTCACTGTTGTAGCAGTGTTCAATCTGGATCCGCTGAAGTCCCTCAGGTGAAAGTTGACAGTTTCTCTTTTTCCTCATCTTCATATATTGATGTGACGTTTAATACGAGCCAGCAGGGAGGACGAAAATGACTTAAACTCTCTCAGCGGCGAGAAAAATACCTTTATTTTGTTAATGGCGCCGCAACAAACATGCAGGTTTTATACTGTTGCCACCATGACGCAACTTTTAGGCGTTGAGTTTTTAGGAATTGTTTTCAGTGATTATTGCTCCACAGCCGGTGTTCTTACTTATACAAGATGAGTCCGTAACACTAATAGACAATGATGTCCAGCTTCTCCAAAGTTCCCCGCAGCAGCTGGTGGGAGCAGAGAACATCTGCTTCCTGTCTCCACGTTCTGGCCAAGTTTAGGTTGTGTTTGAGATCCTCAGGCTTTGTGGTCTGACAGCCTAATCTCACGTGTGTGTGTTGAGCTTTTGGTCCACCGGGGGCTTTGTAGAGTTTGGTTCAGGATGAAATATGTCTGGATGGAAGTACATGTTCTTTATTCCAACAGAAAGTTCATTTTCAAAGCTGGCGTTGGAAGGTAATAAGCAGAGAAACACTGTTTGATATAATGGCCCAGAGTTTTTATAGCTTTCATTTTTTTTTGATAGATGCAAATATTCATAACTGACGTGGAAACGTGAAAGCAAACAATGTCATTCCATATTTCTGCATATTTTATGGAACCGTTTTCAACTGTGCTAAATGCCACCTGACATATCCAGTACCAAAGGTACCCAAACACTTCATCACTGCTAATAGGACTGCTGTCTAGTGCATCTCATTCAGCGAAAAAGTAAATCACATTTTCATTATGCAGAGTGTAGGTGGAATTTAGGATTTATAAAAATTGCCCCATGAGAGTTTAAACGGGATATTAACGTTCTGAGTTCATTTCGCAGCACTTTGAAGCAAATTAATTCAAAAGCAATCATAATTTTCATGCAGTTTTTGTCAGAATTTTCTGTCTCTATGTTTAGGCACCCAGAGATTCTTTCTTTTCACTTAGGTGGTGATTATGGTTTGTTGTCCAGTAGTCGAGAGATGGCGCCTAAACGAGGCAAACGTTAAGTTAAGTTGTGCGGCCGCATAGCGGCGATGCTTTGATCTTACTGCTACCGCTGGAATACTCACAGCGACCATGCTGACGTTCTTAAGGACCTTATGCTAATTTTGCTATTCAACAAACAAAGTATTATTTTCCTTTCACCCATTGCTGCTTGTAGATCTCTCGTATCGCGTAGAGGGTCATGAGGGTCATTGCGAGACACCTCCAGCTGTTGGAGGAAGAACATCCTTCAGCGCCGCTGGCTTCCACTTACTTTCCTGACCTTCTGTTTGGTCAGCAAAGTCCCTCGAGCAACCGTCGTCACGTAGTGACCTTTCCTACCTGGCCCGCAACTCCACAGTGCACAATGTACTTTTATCTGGCAACCCCGGGGGCACCGTGCTCCCCTGAATATCACTTCTGTCCTCTGGGTGCTCATCTGCAGTCGCCGTCTTTTTAGTGTTTCCATAAAATAATGTTTTTTGAGAATATTGAAATTGCCTCTTTCTGTAAGATAAGAACAGGCGGGATAACCGGAAAGGTTATTATTTGCGTCAAAGTGGATATTGTCTGATTTCAAGTAATGTGTCTTTGCGGAGCCAGAGCACCAACCAGTTGAATCAGAAATTGAGAATATGAAAATAAAAGCAACAAAAAATACATTTGATTGATCAATCTAGGAATCCTTCAGTCTGACAACCGATAAGCCTCCGAGTGCAAGTGGCTGCATTTTAGTCTTCCGATTTGGCCAGCAGATATCTGGACCGATGTTTCCTTTCTTGAGGGCGCTGCCATTTGTTTACAGCTAAATCATGAGAAAAAAAAACAGTCAGTCAGAGATTGCAGCCAATACATTCTGCCTTTTATAATTTTTCAATATAAGGAGCTATAATGTACCTTGAAAATCAGTCGGCATTTTCCACAACACTGGTGTAACGTTGACATTCCCTAAAATGATCCAGAACACCTAAATACGCATGTTTTATTACTCTTACGCGCTGGGTCAGCAGCTGATACCCGATAACTGGCAGCCAGTCGGCACGCCAGGTACGCCACCGTGAGCTGTGACCTGGCAGCTCCCGTCACGAGGGGTCACGTGTCCGTTCCTGATTGTTTGGAAAGAGGGACAAACCTGTTGCTGCGCTGTAGATCAGGAGGTTTGCTCACGGATGAGATGTTGTTTGTACGAGAAGTGTGGTGAGGACAGCATGGCGTCATGCTGCAGAGTGGTAATTGAGTCTCCGACAAAAACAACAAAAACAAATAGGTGTGACGGTATTTGTTATGGAGGAACGACGACAACTTCCCCAGCACAACCATGTACTCGTTGGTCCCGACGTGCATTTACTGTAGTTGGGAATGTGCTGATGCATTGCATTCCCTTTGTTGGTTGCTATTTTCTTTTGGTGCAGCAGTGATTGCAGAAGTAAGTCATTGATGGTGATGGACTAGACACTTACTACTACAGTTTTCTATGCTTCTTCTATAGTTTTCATTGAAGACCAAATAACTACCTTCGGGGCAATTTTACCTGATAACATATACTCAATATTTATAATTAAATATGCATTAATCGTAAATAAATCGCTCAGTCTCTGAAGTTAGTTGGTTTTCTAAAAAGAAAGTTTCGACTTTTTTTTGACATTTACAGACTTTTTTAAAACTAATGCCACGCAATCATTCTGTTTACTCTTTTGTTTTATAAGTATGTACGGTGAGTTTCTATTGTACCTTCAGGACTGACATTATTACATTTTCTGAGCAGGCGGGACGAGCTCTGCCACCTACCGAAATATAACGTTTTTTTTTCACTTAAATATCCATTTTCTTCACTTATATAATACATATTGCACCGTACGTGAGCCAACAGCATCACAGCCTCTGGTTAATATCTTTTTGACTATATAGATAGAGTATGTATCCTCATGCGGCTCTCTTGGCGAGGGAAATAATCCCATCAAATTGCGATGAGGGCAGCAACTCTTGAGACAAGACTGCAATAAAAACAGGGTTTTTATTAATGAAAAACAAACAGAGCTGCTGTTGAATGCGATACATGCAGAGATGACTGCTCTTGGTAACTGCCACCTCTACTTTAAAATGTGTCTTCACCCTTAACTTTAAACGTTATGTCAGTATGAAGAATCCCTATTGTGTATTCCTGCAGCTATTTGTCTCGTCAACGTGCTTCAGTGACGTATTCCTGTATTTTACGTGGCCTTGGAGAACAAGTTGTTAACTCTCTTATTCAGCTGTAGTTTACTGGTGGTGAAGCCGACCACTACTTTTCTCTTCACCGATAGACGAGACGGCCCTTAGTTTGTCCGTGGGACGGAGACTGCAGCCAAAGGTTTTTGGCAGCGCATGCTTACTCACCTGGAACATGCACCTGCTTACGATCGCCGTGACTCATTCATTTGGTTGACGTGTTCAGTTTGAACACAACTACAGCTGGTGCCTTTTTTTCTTCTTTTTTCTTGCAGTCATGCTGCGCTGGTTTTCACATCACAAGCTGTCTACTTGTTCACAAGGCAGTGGGATTGTTTTTATACCTTTTTTTGCCTACATTACCCACAATGCTACCACCTAGAGTCAAATGTGGGTGTGTATCGCTAGTAGCAGCAGATTTAGCCTCAAGCAGCGATGATGAGTCTGAAAGGACAATGACTTTAGTGACATCATTTAAACTCTCTTGCAGTTCCTGCTGTAGACACAAATCTTGAATCTTGCTGTTGCTCAAAAACACCATCTTTTTAAATCGTTACTGATGTTTTTTACGTTTTGTGTTTTTGACTCCTGGTGCCTTTGGAGAATGTTGAGGAAAGGCATTTAGTATGTTGTATGCACTTCCATTGAAAATGTGTGTTTGGCTGGTTACATCTGAGTGTCGAGGCCACAGAGTTTGGATCAGATTAGCCTCGGCTTTGTTGATGTCATTACGATTCCCATAACAGGTAGTCCTGCCCCCCCCACACACACACACACACACACACACACACACACACACACACTCGCAGATATTAGGATGCCCTTTGACAGCTCAGGTCACTCCAGATTGTATCAAAGGTCCTCAAGAGTTAATATTATCACTGTATATTTTGATGGTTCTGTTCTGTGCGTGTGTGTGTGTGTGTGTGTGTATGTGTGTGTGTGTGTGTGTGTGTGTGTTTAACATACAATTAGTATTTGTGAATATATGGAGCAACCATTTCCTCTCCTTTACTACCTTGTTTGTTCTTTTCTAATCTTCTTATCACTCCTACAATTCCAGTTCCTGTTTCACTTACATTTGTTTTTGTTCATCCTTTTATGTATGGCCTCCTCTTCCCCTCACCAGAGCTCCTCCTGAACCTCCTCTTTGCCTCTTGTGTCTTTCCCTTTCGCCTCCTTCTGGTCTCCGGTCCCCTATCTTCTCTGCTTCCTTTTACTTTATTGCACTCCTTCTTGTGTAACCCTTGATATCCATCCCTTCTCTCATTCACTCCTGCGCTGGCTTCCCCTCCCCATTTTCCCTGTTCTTGACTTCTTTTGACGTTTAGAGCAGAGTGGGGATCCACTCAGCTGACAAAGAGAGAGGCCATGACGTCACGGCAGACATGATACACCAGCATCTGCTCCGGTCTAAAAATACACACCACAGGGCACACACACACACACACACACACACACACACAGTCAGTCTGCAGCTGCACTCAGCATTTGTTTCCACCTCCACACTCTAGATGGCCCAGCTTTTACACAACCGGGGATTGTGGGCACACGCACGCCGCTGGCCCACAAGCAGTGGGTAAGTGTGTAAGGTGTGTGTTTGCTGCCACGAACAAAAGGAATGTTGGCATACTTATTAGATCTCATCCAACCCGGCACTTACTGCGCCGAGGAAGTGCAAGTTTCTCGTAGAAAATTCTCCTCTCAAAGTTTTCAAGGACCTCAATGTGTGTTACATTCACTAAGATCTAATCAATTGAAAATATTGACAAACAGGGAATTTGCATTGAGAGAAACTGCTCAGATACAAACTAAATTAGAATGTCATATGCCTAAAATATCATGCTGGTTTGTTTCTGTGTCTATATTTCAGTATCTATTCCACGTATTCCCCCAAATCCCACAGGTGTAGTATATTATAATTTCAGTTGGGTCAAACATGTGATGCATTTCTGTATCAACTGTGATTTACATGAACATTAGAACTATATAACCTTTGATGAATGTAAATGTTGTGTATTTGTTGATGTCATTTTTTTCATTTTACAGAAAATCTCATTTAATTTCAATAATGTGGAATTTGTTTTTGCTGTTGTAATGAAATGACTCTACTTAATTGCATGCTAATACTAGCGTGCTTGCTAACATTACTGTAGCTGAGGAAGAGCTGCCAAAACTAAGAAACTTAATTAACTTACTTGATAAGCAGCATATCTTAAAGAAAAACACTGTACAATTTATAATTGTTGATTTCACATTACAAACATTGGATCATACTGGTGCCAAATTTATTATTATTATTTTTGAGAAATAAGACTGTATTAAATCTGGCAGCGGCATCAGTCTACAGTGTAAAAAAGATAAACCTTTGGCGCTTTCTGCTACACTGACCTTTAATTATTACGACAAGGTCTTCATTGTATACTATTAATCCATCTCATATCAGGTCCTATCTGTCTCTCATTAGTTGACCTTTGAATTTGTCTCCTGTCCCTCCTCCTCTTGCATCAGTGCAGCTGTTTGTTAACTCGGCTGGTTCGCTGTTGGATAACGATGGTGAAAATGTCCAGAATACTACTGCAAAACACGCGTCCTCCAGTCCTCTCTGTCTTTGAGCAACTCCTCTGGTCCTCAGCAGAGGGGGAGTGTGCGGATTCTCAGTAGCGCCCTGATGCCGAGCGGGTGTTTGTGTGTGACCCTTCTCGACTGTGCATTTGCTCCCCGAGGCCGTCCGTGTGAACAACAGTGGGTTCTTAGTGAAGTTGTTGGGCTGAATAATTAGTCTTTTTTCTTATCTGCAGTGCTTTTGGGGTCATATATGCGTCTTCAACAAGACCCTTTCGCTCTGTTATCTTGGATACATCTGCTACTTCTATGACAATTGATGAAAGTCATCCTGATGTGGTTTTGATATTTAAAACTATTCACATAAAAATACTTTTTCACCAGGGAATGACCCCAATCAAACATTTTAAATGTATTTTGCTGGCGAGGTGTAGTAGTTCCACCCTCATTTTAGCAATGCTTTTTATTTGTAATTCATCATTTTTAATAATTCCGTTCTCTGTTTTGTCTCCTCTTTGTTCTTGCGTGTTTGCGTGTGTTTTTCTGTGTGTTGTGTCCGTCTGTTGCCTGTGTTGGCGTGCATCTAGTGACGTGGCCGGTCTGTCGGACTTAGAGATCATCTCCCAGCCAGTGGAGGATGAGAACCAGTACTTGGCTCCTCCGGTCCAGCTGGTGAGTTTTGGCTACAGAGATCTGCCCCTCGCAGCTCTTGACCTCTCGCTGGCCGGCTCGCAGCTCCTCTCCAACGCAGATGAAGATGAAAACAGGGAAGGGTGAGTGATGAAACAGCCAAATGTTGCATGGTGAGCATTTGTTCTATGGAATGGATGCATTTGATATCTTTTAATATCTCAGCCAGTAGGATTATGCAAGCATGCACGTGTGCCCCTTTGTGTCTGTCCCTGACTGAACCCATTTTCTGCTGCAGCCAACTACATTATGTTTTTGGGGTTAAGACGACATGCACAAGGACCTCTCACATTTCAGTGGAATGTGTTTTACAATTGTGTTAATTCAATAACATAATACGTTGGTGGTTGTTGCAAAGACCCTACTTAGTGTGACTTTCTTTTTTTTGTTTTTGTTTTAATTGGCCTCTGTGGCAAGTGTGAGTGACAGACGTGTGATCATTTATTGGTTTCAAACAGCTTTGTCTGTGAATTCACAGTGACAATGATTTGGCAACAGGGAGGCGTCAGCGGAGGTATTTTTCCCTTCTGTGGGTGACTGTCGGTTGGACGTCGCACAAACTCGCACACAGCCAGTGTTGAGCCAACAGATTCCTCCCTTGTTTGAAAAGACTCAACCAAACATATTACTCTTCATCTATGTTTTGGACGTTCTAAAATATATTCTACTACAATAATGTGTAAATTATATTGAGCTATAACATTATTTGATTTCCTGTGACAAAGTTAGTTGAATCCTGGAACAAATCAAGAAATGGGAATGGGAATTAGACCAAATCTCATTTCTCCTGCGATCTGTGGGTTTCTTTTACTAGAAGTTTCTTTTACGTAGATATTGTGGTAACTTGCCAAGAGTCTGGTAAATTTAATTTAAGCAGTCATTTTTCATAGACAGGAAGATGGATGGGCCCAACTCTATTAATAACTGCAATGACGCCAAAACGGCTAACACTGCAAGTGTATAGGATTTATATTATCACCTTTTATTTTTAGTGTCCATACTTTTATTTTTCCCGTTGCGAATTATGTTTGTCCGCTTTCATCTTTCACTGCACTATGTGCATTTGGGACTCAATTAGGTCCTTTCAACTTCAAGATTTTAAGAAGGAAAGCAATATACAGTTGATAAATCATACAGATGTAAAAAGATAAATGAGTATAATGGTTTTTAAGGTTATGACACCATTACAAAGGCACTTTAAACGTCCAACATGCTGATCGTGGTTCTGCTTTTTCCGCTTTAACAGGATTGTGTGAAACGCTGTTATGGCATATGGGTATGAGGTCACATCACAGCTGTCCTTTTGATTAGTCACCATATTAACAGGTTTCTTTTCGTCACCGTGCAAAACCTGCTTGCTGTCCAGTCCGTCCATTCTGTCCAGCGACTCAAACCTGGCGCTCAGCACCAGCTCTCACCGGGATGCACATAAACACCATAAGCTGTAGCCCGGGATCCAACGCGCTCCCGCCAAATACGTACACAGGCCCCCCCATCCAAGTGCTCCGTTTGACACCAAATCAGGTCTCACTCCATTGGTTCCCTTCGGTTAGCCAGTCATGGCCCACAAACAGATGGATTTCACAGACGCATCATCAACAGTGGGACACTCCCGCTGCACTAGCAACCCTAGTGGGTGTCTGTTTCATGTTAGGGTCAGTGATGGCGAATAATTCCATCCCTGTGCGTAATGGATCGATGTGTGTATGTCTTGTGTTGTTGTGGATAACATTTAGTTCAAGCTTAGACATGCTGTGTTTCCTATTGGGGTCGACCTGTGAAATACCTGTAAGGTTGTTTAGACTCTAACTGGGTCACGGGCCTGCTGTTGTTGAGTAATCACAAAAAAGGAACTGCCAATATGTTGAAATGAGCTTGGGTTCGGAGGGGAAAGAGACCTAAGTTCTGGTCTAGGGGCTGAAACACCGTTGCTGTAAGAAGCTCTATCAATACCGCGGTGAAGGTTATTTTACCAGTGAGCCCAATTTACTCAAACTGTGCTTAGTGCGTTGAGATCACTATTTCATATTCAAGCCATTAGTGCAAAATGTCTGCCTGTAAAAAGTCTGCCAGAGGGAGTTGTAAAAGTCATCATTCTTTCATTTAGCTTTAATGAAATTCCATTTAAATCCACCATGCATGCGCTCTAGTAATGTGTCTGTCTCCACTATTCCATAAATGCTATACTAATATCTTACATTAATCACCATCAGCTATACCTCTTGCTTTGTGATAATAAAGGTGAAATATCACAAACCTTTGCTATTTTGGGGCCTTGTGTCCCATCAGGTGTTTCGGTCAACATTGAAATAGTGTGAATCAGCCCTGAAAGAGAAGAATGTGTGAATAAAAGTTGCGTCCTCTGACTTGAAGGCCACGTCATTAGAATCAGTAAGATGCAGCGAAGGAGCGTCTCCCTGAATGCCTCAGTCAGCCTGCCCCCCCCCCCCCCCCCCCCCCCCCTTCGTGCACCCTCATCGTGTTTAAGAGACGGCCTCCTGCAGTAGTAGTCAGCTTCCTCACGTCAGCGCTTTGACATCAGCGACCTGTGAGTGGACTATGTTGCCGCGTAATAAAGTACTTAAGATAGGAAAATCTGGAGTTAAATAGCCGAAAACAATTGCTGATCTTACGTTTAGGCAAAAGGGGGCAGAGCAAATGAACCATCTTTGTGGATGTGTAGAATGATGTAGAAGTGAAGTTGAGAGAATGCAGGACAGCTTCCACAGACAGCAAAATGAAAAAGTATGTGGGAGAGGAACAGTTAGCTGCTCCACTGATTCTACCTGGGAAGGTGTATTGCCCCACCACCCATCCACCACCACCACACCCCAACCCCTCCACTCCCCGGCCTGCATTAGCAGGCTCATTGGCTTCCCGAGATGGTGAAGGAGCACCACGACGAAAGCTGTGCACGGGAAATGTTCTCGGAGGGATGTTTTGCAAGAAGAGAGCGTCCACTCTCGAAAGTGAAATTGTCACAACCTCAGTAGAGGTGTTTCATCAACATGGTGACGGCTCATCGGGGTATGGGGTGGGAGTTATTCCTACTGGCGGTTTGGGAATGCCAAACGTTTCTCATCTACTCATTCCAGAAAGAAATGAAGGAAAAAAAGTGCACTTGCAGGCCGTATTCTTCCTCACAAGTTCACCGATTAGATGCTGATGGAACACAGCTTTGTGTTACCGTGGCTTACCTATACTGTATGGCTGCAGAGTGTTTAATACCAGCAAGCAAGCGGAGGGGATTAATCAAGAGGAAAGGCTCCTGTGTCAAGCTGCCACTGTGTGATGAAGCACCTACTGTCAGCCATGTTTGCATATCATAGCCTGTAGCATTGGGAAGGTGGAGCTGACCTTACCGCTATCTCTCGTATACTGCGCTGCCCTCACATCAAATTGCCGGCGAAGCAGTCACTCGCACACAGACACACACACACACACACACACACACACACAAACACAAAGACGCGCATGCATAATTGTGCATGCGTGAACAGAAATACATTGAGTATTTATACAGTGTGGGAGAACGTTTCACACTGTACTATATAGTGGTTGTTAATATAATCCTCTGTAATCATGGTTGACTTCATATTCCAGTTTATGCTGCGCTGTCACATCTCATTATGAACAGTAGTGTACCTTCAGTGATGCTTCTGCACATTTTGATAGGCTTTTCTTTTTCTCTATTTCACCATCTTTCTACATAGTTCTTTAGTCCCTGTGATTTTTTCTCTTGCTTCTCCTCCTCTTTCTTCAGTTCACTCTCTTCTTTTCGCGCTTACCGTCTCGACCTTTTTTCATCGCTCTCTGCCCTCGTTTTTCACACAAAGTAGGCCTTCCCATGCTGAAAACCAATCTGCGCTGTAACTCAACCGAACGCCAAGAAAATCGGTGCATATCCTCTATAAATCATACTGTGCACACCTGTCAGCACGTCACACTGACCTACCGGGGGCCCCTTTCAGAGCCGCTGGGTTCACAGTTCTGTGCGAGGGGGGGGGGGGGGGGGGACAGGTGGACGGGCTGGAGATTTCCTGCACCCGTTTACTGTGTTGTTACCTAACAACAGTGTTCTCAGCCGGAGAGATGTGGGCGGCATTGTTGGAGGTGGTTTTTCTAGCTAGCATCAGGGGGCAGTTGCAGTGTTAGCAGTTTTGGCGTCATGGTAAGTGGAGTGTGGTTATTAATAGAGTTGGGCCCATCCATCTTCCTGTCTAGGAAAAATGCTGGGAGGACCAAGGTGGCGTGGGCTTGTGTTCAGCACTTTCATGGCTGCCCACTCTCCTCCTAGTCATCAAGCTGCTTTTGTTTGTTTGCTGACTTTTTTTTTTCTTTTTCGGGTGAAGGTTTTTTTTTTTTGTTGGTGCGTTTCAGCTCGTCTCTGTGTAGGTTGCTGGAGCTCTGTGACGGACAGAGAAAGTCAGCGAGGGAGATTTGAAGGACCGTGACCTCATCTGCGACTTGCGTTGATGGATTGAACTGGTGATTAAATAGTCACACACAAACAATGATTCAGTCAAAAATAGCTAGTTTATAGTATCCGACATCTATATCTGGCATATACATGCTGACATGAAAGTGATGGTCTAAATTAACCCTTAAGGCAATAACGTCCTCAGCCATGTAGGTACTTTACAGAACTTTTCTAAACTGCAAGTCTGTTTAAAGGGACATATAATCAAATGTAGCCCTGAAACCAACTCCAATCTAAAGCCCGCAGTATGTAAAATACTACTTTTCAGCATAGCATCTGACACTCCAAAAGCTGCTGCAACACCTGCTCAGTGGCTGAATATGCTGCCGCTGTCGCCTGTGGTAAAAGCTATAGAAAAGGTCAGTGACGAGTATGATGCAATGTGATAATGAGAAGTGCCCAGGCACGTTATTGTCCGATAACGCCTGGATGAAAGCCTGCAGTGTAGGAATATGTTAAGATTCAGGAATGCCTAACCGGCTCATTACACCACCCGACCCTTCCTCAATGCTACTGCTACTGCTACTACTGCAGACCTGAGCAGTGGAATGATGTCACCTCTCATCCCAGTGATGGCTGTGTGGCTGCCAGACACAGAGACAG